ATCCAGCTAAGATAAAGAAAGGATATCCATGGTTCGATTTCACACGTAAAATCAATTTAAGATTCGAAATTGATTTCATATTGCATTAGGGCTTACCGAGATTGGATCTTGAGAGATCGACGTGGTTAAATCTTGACAGATTCGAAATCGTTTTTTCCCCTGATATGTCTTCAACTTCTCAATCAATTTCATCTGTTGTTCTTGAAGAGCAAACCCATAACACTGAATGTTCGTGTGTGTGTCGGTATATGTTAAAGTGCAAACCTGTGAATTGATTTCCATGTGAATTGATTTCCAAAAATGAAAAATAAATCACCGCTGACATCCGTCAACGACGAACATCACCATCACCTGCCAGTAAACCTAACAACATCGTTGTCGTCCCTTTTTTCTTCCTCCCTGTCGATAACCAAACCCTAAATCTTGATATTTTAGGTGGGTTTCATTGTGGTAGTTTGGTCTAAGTGTTTCAATGGAGGATATGGTCAATTTCCCGACAATGGAATGATTATCGAGGTTCATCGGGTAAGGGAGGGGAAATAGCATGAACAATAATTCAAGAACCGGGTGAGAGACGGGGAAAATGGTTTATGGGGGAAAGAGGTGGGGTCACAGGAGAGAGAGAGAGAGAGAGAGAGAGAGAGAGAGAGAGAGAGAGAGAGAGAGAGAGAGAGAGAGAGAGAGAGGATAAGTGGGCCTACTTCTATATTTAATAATAATAATAATATTAAAAAGTGAAAGAAAAATGAAAAATAAATTCATTAAGGGTATAATAGTCTTTTTAGTTTGGACACTGACCAAAACTGCAAGCAAAGTAGCTCAAAAGGACCACCAATCCAAAAAAGTCGGGGTTTGGACTAAAACCCCAAAAAAATGCATACCACAGGGACGATTTTTGCAATTTTGTCTAAAAAAAATAATAAAATTAAAAAAAAAAGTCTACTTGTTTTTAAAAGTTTTTAAACTTTTCATACTAGTTTGCTTTTTGAAGTTTTCATATTTATATAAAAAAGACTGAAATTTTTTTGAAGTTTTCATATTTAAAAGCATCACACTCTAGGTCCTTCTAATTTCAGGTTTATCTTTATAGCTAACACTATTAAAAACAATGGTTAGGTATCAATAAAATAACTAATTTATCGCTTTTTATGTTTTTTTTGTCATTTTAATTTATTTTCTTCTCTTATTAACCCAAAGAGTCCCTAATTCTACACATCTTCAAACTAAATTTTAGAATCAAAACAAAATTTCATAATGTGTTTATGTGATTTTTAAAAAGTATCATTTTCAAGATAACTATTAAAAGTTTCAAAATATTGCATGATTGATCCTTATAACTAATTCTTATAAAAACAACGATTAAGTACCAATAAAATGATCAATTTACTGCTCTTTATTTATTTTGTTGTTTTAATTTATTTTCTTCTCTTGATAACCCAAAGAGTCCCCACTCCCTACACATCTTCAAACTAAGTTTTTCTTTTAAAAACATAAGTAAAACATTCATTTTTCCATAAAGATAGAAATATCAAATATTTTAAAACCGTATCATAAAAACAATATATCAGAATAGTCATAAAATAGCAGAAGTCTTAAAACCATAATCCTTAGTAATGTGCATGCGACATAGACAAGTTGGAGCTTTATTACTGCCAGAAGCATAACTTGAAAAACATTTAATTCACAATTATAAGCATAAATCTTAGTGAGTTTCCCAAAATATCACATATCATAATACACATACAATGCATACAAACAATGCTCTTAGATCTCGTACCGATCCACCATCAACCTTGGGTATCTAGGCTCTCGGCTCCAATGTTGATCCACCATCAACCCCTGAGCATCTCGGCTCTCAACTTCAGTGTTGATCCACCATCATCCTCTCAACATAATATGTCTACATATCATACAATCAAATAGTCAAAAAATCACGCAATCAATAGGAAAAAGACTATACTAACCTATTTGCCTAATCAACATGCTACAATACACTTACACCATAACATACAGAGGATATATTATAACACATAGTATAGTAAGATAATTCACCTGAACTGAAAAATTGGAGAATCACAACTACGTACACAACCTCGCAAGAACCGTCTCACGAACCACCTAGACGACAATCAGAGGTCAAACCTCAGTTTATAGTTCAATCCCTAAAGTTTGACCAAAAGTCAAACTGGTCAAAAGTCAACTGGTCAAAGTTTGAAATGCCACAGGATCTAGCTTATTGGCACCAAAAAAGGAACTTCCTTCACCTTCAATCTATACACCAAAAGCTTGAAAGCTCAACAACTCATGAAATGGATATTAGGGTTTTAGGAGAAACGTTTATGAGGAATGATGCTGCAAAATGAGGCAACCCTGAGAGTTAATATCCTTAATTAGATCATAACGCCCAAGGTTTAGTGTTTTATGTAAATAGCAGCATCGCGTCGCGACTAAGGGTTTTTAGTCGTGTCGTGACCAGACTTGTTTGCGTCGCGCTTCTGTTTCCTTCATAAAACTCGCCATCCTTAAACACTTTAATCAAATAAACTTGATGTAAACATTCCCAAAAGTAGGCGTTACATGAACACCAAAATCAAAATCTGGAATCGCCGCCTACATACCATATAGCATCGATTATGTACAATGTAATCAATTTACGTGTGTACATAGGAGTGGCTACGCACCGTGTAGCAGGTGAAAATCAAGGAGAGGATAATGTAGTGCAATCACCAAAATTACGGTTAAAAGATCGAATTAAAACCGGTTATGTGATTCTCTATTTATAAGGAGGCTTAGGAACCCTTATGGGATAATTACTTGGTCACTAAGTAATTATCCATAAGTTTGGTAATTATCCTAAAGTCAACAAGTTTTTTATTAATTAATTAAAGCCTTAATTAATTACCAAACTAGACCCAAATAAAATTATTGTGTCATTTGTTGCTAATATTTGTCTTTGCGTGTAACCTAAAAGGACCATAGAATTAATAACGATTAATAGTAATATTACCAACTGTTGTGACTATGTGCACCATTTCTAACAAAAAAAGTACTCTCAAATACACCCACTTTTGTTCTCAATTTGGTGGTTTAGACAATAATGAGCAATTTTCTCTCAAGCACACTTTTAAATGGGTTAAGAGGGGACCAACAATGTTACACTTACACCATCAGATTACACGATCATGTAATGAGTTACATAACATTGTAACTCCACAAAAGCACTAAAATGACAAACTACTTTTTAGAAATTCAATTTATGCATCTCGACATACTTACACGACCATGTAAGTGATTACACGATCGTGTAATCCTCTGATCTGATGACCAAAATTATCATTTTACTTTCATTATTTCATGTTTGGGCAATTCTTGATACTTACACGATCATGTAAGGCATTTACATGATCGTGTAATAGCTCTGGTATACAATAAGGTAATGTACTTTACATTGTATACTTCTATGACTCGTAACTTCCTCATATGAACTTGGATTTCAATGAATTTTATATCCATGGAAAAGGATCGAAGGGAACTACAACTTTCCTATAACAAATCCATACTGAAAAGTTCTGCATTTCAGTTATGGTGCATATGCACATTGACATATGCATAATATCCATATACAAAAAAGTATGTCTTTGTGTATTTCTTTCAGCGAATCATCCAAAACGATTTATCCAAATGATTTTTATGGTGTGTATTTTAATAATATCATGGAGAATATGTTCTTATTATATTTATTATATATTGGAAAAATAATATCTTTTTGTTCGCAAAGCCACTAAAAAGTCGTTTATTTTCGAAAAAGCCATTAGAAAGTCGCTTTAATTTCACAAAAAAAAAACACTAAAAACTATTTTTGTTTTCGAAAAAACTTTACAACCGAATGGGAGCTTTCTATCGGCTAAAATTTCAAATATGTAAAGATTCTATGGATGAGAGTTTTCATAAATAATGCCAAAGTTTAGGGACTTTTTTTTTTAAAATTTCCCTATTATTAATATATAATTTTTTCTCACATAATGCTACATAGAAAAAGAAAAAAAAATTTGTGATTGCACTTGGTAGTCAGTAGGGGTGTTTAACGGTTAAAATTTTCGGGTTAATCAGGTATATTGGTTATTCTCAAAGGGTGGGTATTGAACCAATCAACCAACTACCCAAAGATGAAAGATTGCTTTATTGGATGCAAATATTTTCGACCCATTTAATTAGCCGTTGTTTTATTGGATGCAAATATTTTCGGCCCATTTAATTTTTTTTTAACCGGCAAATACAAATATTATAATCTACTCATAAACTAACACTTAATTTCACCTATGTCCACGGGACTTGAACCCTCGACCTCAAGGAGGGAGGGCACCACCAGATACCGCTGGGCTAGAAGCCCTTTAGTCGGCCCATTTAATTAGCCGATCAAATAACGTTATGATTTACAGGAGATTAAGAGAGCATACAGCGCCACGGCGGCAGCGACGTAAACAGGAGATTAGGAGAGCAGCATTGCAAGGGTAATGAAATCGTCGTGAGTTCTACTGATTAAATTTATACGTTCTTAAACCATTTGCTCAAAGTTTCTTATTTCTCAGTTTCAATAAGATAAATTATTCTGACATCTTCATTGTTGATTTTTTTCTTTAATTTGTCTAGTTATACAACAAAATATCATAGGTATATGCTTCTTGTTTTCTCATGGTTTAATCCAGGTTAAACATATTCTATCATCCATTTATTTGAAACTGATCTAATTGATATCTAATTTTTTCGTATAGTCATCTTTGTTGATATATACTTGTTACCCACATGAAATATCCTTCACTTTACTTGTAAGTTGTAATATCTGTTTTTTATAAACTTGGTATACTCTAAAAGGGTTGTGTCTGTATATATGTGTATACTTGTCCCATGGTTATAACTTCTGTATCTTACGTGGAAGTTGCATATACCAAGGTTGTTTCGAATGTTTATTTTTGTTTTGAAAATGTAGGAATGGCTAGAATATGCCTAGAAACCAGAACCATGATGAAGCATCTAGCACGAAGAGGATCAAGACTTTTGACAATGGTAGTATGGCATCTCGGTCAGATCTTAACCATGATGTATTTTTATTAGTTATGATGCGACTCGGAGTTGTTGATTTTCTTGCATTCAGTAGAGTATGCAAGCCATGGAGATCTTTTGCACTCTCCAACAGGAACAAGTTTATGGCCTCGAAAACACCCATGTCCATATCTATATCTACTCATGCTAATGAGAAAGAGTGTTACTTAGAGGAATTTGAAGGAAGAAAGTTCAAAACCATTCTTCCTCATTATGCTAACATGACATGTATTGGGGTAACTTGTGGTTACTTAATCTTCCTTGGTAAGAAAACCCTTGACTTTTGGCTTGTGAATCCTATCACAAAGCATGAAATTCGTTCCCTTATGTCCCCTTGAAACTCCTTACTGTTTATGAAAGGTTGAAGGCTATCCTTGTCTTTTCACCTTTAGTATCGGGGTGGGTGTTTGTTATATTAAATAGACACACCAATCAAATATGGTTTTCTATAGCTGGTAAACAAGAATGGACTCAAGTCTCCACCTCTTCACGAATCCTCCATTTACATGGTTTCAAAGGGAAGATATATATCATAGACGCCCTTTATTGTTTATATGAAATGATACTCTTTCCAAACCCCAAATTGATGTTACTTGAACTAAATAATTCTCCCAAGCCAGTCATGTTTGCACTTTCCGTTGAAAATCTTTATGTGGTTGAGTTGATGAAAAGACAAAATCAAAGATCAGAACATCCATACGAGTTTCATGAATTAGATCTCGGTGAAATGAAATGTGTGTCACTTGAATTGAGACAAGAAGAATTTACATTCTTTCATGATAACCGGAAGACTCATCTTGTTGTTATACCAGAGTCGTGGCTACCTCACAATACACGAAATATGTGAGATACGTGAGATATGATGGCACTGACAAAGGTGGAAAATGCAAGTACTTTTATGCAAACATGTGGTATTGCTTCCATGATTTTCTGGATGTTAATTGCATACATGAATGATGACTTATTAATACGTTTATCTTTGTTTTTATGGTGGATTAAACCAGTTTCTACAAGAATATACCAACACAAACTTGGTTCAAAATGTTATTTGCTAATTGCAAATTTTAAAAAAGAAACATGATCTACACACTGCAATTTAAACCATGAGGAATATTTATTGCAAATGGTTGATATACCTGTTTTCAGTCTTGTTGAAGGTCTGATGAAATATCCAAGTATTAAATAGCCATGTGTGTGTGTGTGTGTGTGTTCATATCTGGCCATTCATTTGAAAAACTTTGTGACACTATCAAACAAATTTAGAGCCTTGAGCTCACCCTTCTTCATATCCCTTAATTTTCTCCTCAATATCTGCAAGTTCCCACAAATCACATCAAAAAAGATAGCAATGATGTGCATGAGGATGTAGTGAAGGGGCAAAAGTGTCCTTACGTATTGAGCACGAAAGAGAATTCTCTGTTCACTATTGCACAAGTCTACAGCTAGCTGTTTAAGGAACACTTTTCGGTTGAGTTGCTTTGGAGATGTTATATCCAAATCCATTGATCCACTTGCCTGGAGGAATTTGGTGTACTTTGAAATGCTGGATTCACAGTTATCCAAGATAAATTGGAATGCTTGTTCCTCTAGTTCAGGATACCTGATCTCCTTATTGCTGCTGGATTTATTTGATGCTGCTGCAGCCATCTGAATATAATATTTGCATTTAATCTTTAATAAAAGATTAATATTAAATACTCAATGCAACTAAAAGACTGTTTATGTCTTACCTCTTCAAACTTTCCACTCATACTAGGGGGACTCACAGCTAAATACGCGTATGCCATCAGCTCCAATGGCCAACCAGTCACTTGTAAAGGAAAACACTGTGATCTGATACAAAATCACACATATGAAATCAGAATTTTTCATACAAGTAAGTAAAAGACGTAATTGCCCTCATCATAGAATAACCTAAAAACATCTTAGATGTGATGAACTCACGCTGATAACCCATTTTTTTTCAGAGCTTCCAGTTTCTCTTGATAACATTTATCTGATTTTTTAAGGGACAATGGCAACTCAACTGAGTCACGTGGGTTTGTCCCTTGTCTTGGCACAAATCCATAAGAGAGCAGGAGTTCTCCATTAGATTTTCTGCCATATGAAATGAACACCTGCAGAAGGAAATTTGGAATTACAAAAGTTAATTTCCATGTGAGAGTTTCCATGAAGTATACTTAAAAGAGAGAATTTTGCAACATGATTACCTGCTCACCTGGCTGATATGGACGATCAGTTGTGAATACAACTCCTTTTGTTGATTTATCATAATCCAAAAAGGTTTCCACCTGTCAACAACAAAAAACAAAATTCTAGTTATTGTCAGGTACTATTAAGTTATCTTGATTTAAGTAAATGAGACATTGGTTTAATACATACATCACAGCTATGATTCAGCATATCTGCCCAAGGGACTAAGGCAACTCTTCCATCCAGTGAAGGTAACCTAACCTGTAACAGTAACAAACAAGATCCAGACCATTTAATATTAATAATAATATAAAGATTAGTAATTACAATTTGTTATGTAACTCACCAATCTTGAAAAAAGAATACCGAATGACCATCTAAATGTTTCCATATTGAACACCTCTTCAGGAAATAAATTAGGATGCTTGGAAAAAATTCTATCTCTCAAGTCATTATATCTGCAAAAAAGATTAAAACAGGCATTACAATATATAAGATTTTTCAGGGGTAGAGATAATTGAATAAAGATAGAGAAAATGTCTGCATACGTTCCAGTTACATTGTTGATTCTTTCAATTGCTCGTTCTCTAATCTGTGATGCTTCCAAGTACCTATCTAATTCAGCTCGTGTCCTGAAATAATACAAATATGCTGTAGGGGAAAATACTGAGCATAGATCCTTGAATTGCTGAAGGAGACGATGGAATAAGATCAAGAAAAGGTTACCAGTATAAAAGGGAGTAAGGCTGTCTTGGTAAGGCTGATATATAGTTGCTCCATCTTGATGATTTCATAAGACTTGCTTCACTAATTAGGTAAGTTGCAATCAATGGCCAATCTGGTACATCATATCTCTTCAAAACTTCCCCCGCTTCTGGAAAACTCCACTCCTGATTTCCAAAATTCAGTGTAAAAAGTTATGATCAAATCAGTTTTTAGGGTTTCTAGTTCCATGTATCAATAAACCTTTCATTACAATGCCCTAACTGGACATGCTTTGAAGCTTTAAAATGTAACCTAATTAACTCTCCAAATGTGATGGTCAGTTGAATGAAGCTTTGAATCAAATCAATTTTGAGCAACATAGATGCATCGTTCAGGTCTATGTATGTAATAATCAAATAAGAGATATCATACCGAATTGGCGGAGATGACGAGTGAGGGAGGTACAAATAGAATTTTCTCCCCCTTCCTGATGTTATTATTCGCAACAAGACCCCGCTCTCCAACATCAACCTTCCGTAGGTCCATTTTCTGAGGCGGCAAACCGGAATCCGTCAACCATTTCTGCAACGCAGACGCGTTCTCCAGTGAATCTATTTCGCAACCCCAAGGTATCGGCTGAGGAGCCGCGGTAGCCTTAGCTGTATCGCTGCTGCTGGTGGAGATCGTGCAGCGGATTATCACTGGTGAGGTTTTTCGTTGAGTGATCGTCATAGAGCAAGGTTTTCGGAGGGATAAACTTTGCGATAATGAAGGCATGAGTGTGGTCTGGAAGATCCTGGAAGCTTCCGCCATGGCCGGAGACGGAGGGTGGAGGAGAGGGAAAACCTTATCTACTGAAGCTTGCTTTCGAGTAGAGTGGATTCTGGATACGAGTGCGTTGGTCGTTTTGACGGTTGTTGTAAGTTGTAACTCTTTGCCCGTTTGGAAAATCTTAATCCTACTCTGACCACCCTATCTTTCGTTTTTTGCAATTTGATCACTAAATAGTTTAACTTTACCGGTCTGGACCTAATAGAAAGTTACAAACTGAAAAATCAAAAAATTTTGAACACATAATTCTATAGATAAAATTAATTTATCAATATGTTTTCTATAAAAGTAAAAATATTTTTTAAATCACAATTAATCTTACCAATTTTTGAAAAATTGAATATTTACAACAAGAGTGAAGGTAATCATGTAAAATTACAAATAAATAAATAAAATAAAATGACATCTCATTGGTATCAAAATATACAACTATAACCATTTGAATTGTGCCGACTTGGTAAGACATGTTGAAGATGCAGCCAGTAATCCATTATTTAATGTTCAAAATCTAACAATACTCAACCCATATAGTTATGTAGGTTCTTCTATAGAAACTCCAGAAAATAAGACATAACATCATGTTTGTAGCGGAGATTAATCGGTATATAAAAACAAATCCGAAAACCTTTGTTAGTGCTTAGGGAAGTTCCCCTTTCCAAATACACAACCCTTATAAGTTTCTATCTTTTATTTATTAATGGGGTGTTTGGCAAAAACACGTATTGTTTATTAGCTTATAACTTATTAGCTTTATTAGCTTATAAATAAGTATGGGGTAACTTATAAAAAAAATGACTTATTAGAGGTTCCCTACTTGAAATAGCTATTTTTCATCCAAACATTTTTTTTAATTTATAGTGAAACCTCTAATAAACTAATAAGTTGTTTTAACAAGCTTAACCAAACACCCTCTAAAAGCATTCATAACTTTTAAGTTAAAAGTTTTAACTTTCTTAAAAGTGCTATTTATTTTGTCGCATCAACCAAAAAAATATCTTAAAATTCATTACATAAGGTATATTAGCACGAGTTTTTAGGATATATGTTAATAATTTTAGTGTTTTAATTTTTTTTTTAAGATTTGAATGGCAAATATAAATTTAATCATAAACTAGTCCTAAATCATCTATGTCTCAAATGAGTTTGTAAGATATATGTTAAAGATTTTAGTGTTTTAATTTATTTTTTAAGATTTGAATGACAAATATAAATTTAATCTTAAACTACTCATAAATTCATTTATGTCTCAGATGAGTTTTTAAGATATATGTTAAAGATTTCAGTGTTTTAATTTATTTTTTTAATATTTAAATGACAAATCTGAATTTAATCCTAATGTATTTCTAAATCCACTTATGTCTCAAACCAGTTTTTAAGATATAGGGATATATACAGTAAAGTCCCAATATTTTCATCGATTTGACAAGAAAGTCCTAAACTTTATTTTTTTGACAGTAAAGTCCAAATTACCGGCAGTTTTTGACACTTTTACCCTTTTCCCCGGTTAGCCGGTAATTAGGACTTTTTGTCAAAAAAATAAAATAAAGTTTAGGACTTTCTTGTCAAATCGTCAATTAGGACTTTACTGTCAAAAAAATAAAGTTTAGGACTTTCTTATCAAATCGTTAAAAAATATTGGGACTTTAGTGTATATATAATTTTTTTTGGTTAGAAATTTAATGGTATAATACTCTTTAAGCATAAAAGTTATTAAAACCTTCTCTAATCAGCCAGATCCTATTGAAATCCTTAACGTTTGCTTCTTGTTAAATCGTTTTTTTAATCTCAACAAACCGACATTGAAAAAAATTGAGATAATCAAGAAAAAAAGAAAAAAAGAACCAGGGTTCGGTTTCTTATTTCTCCATTTTTGGGACAGCAAAAAGCCAACACAACCCTGGTTCTTTCTTTCTTTTTGATTATCTCCATTTTTTTCAATGTTTGTTTGTTGAGATTAAAAAAACGATTTAACAAGAAGCAAATGTTAAGGATTTCAATAGGATCTAGCTGATTAGAGAATGTTTTAATAACTCTTATGCTTAAAGAGTATCCTACCATTAAATTTCTAACAAAAAAGGAGATATACACTAAAGTCCTATTATTTTCAACGATTTGACAAGAAAGTCCTAGACTTTATTTTTTTGACAATAAAGTCCTAATTGACGATTTGAGAAGAAAGTCTTAAACTTTTTTTTTTTTTGACAAAAAAGTCCTAATTACCGGCTAACCGGGAAAAAAGGGTGAAAGTGTCAAAAATTGTCGGTAATTTGGACTTTAATGTCAAAAAAATAAAATTTAGGACTTTCTTGTCAAATCGATGAAAATATTGAGACTTTAGTGTATATATCCCTAAAATATATGTTAAAGAAAGGTTTTAATTTATATATTTTTAAATTTGAATGACAAATATAAATTTAATCCTAAACCACTCCTAAATTCATTTAAAAGCTTTTAAGGTATGGTAGATAAGTCATCGTTCATATATTCTTATACAAAATAATTTAGGAAAAAGGTATCTAAACATGCAGTAACAAACAAGAACGTGGAGTATTTGGAAGCAATCAAGCAATGGAACCGTCGACAAGCTCCAAATTGATACCTCGCCAATCGTCTCCAACGCCGTTGGAACCAGTGTGCCGAACTACCCATATACCCTTCTGTATCTATATCCTCTTGTACCTCCTGCTACAAGAGTTGTACCATGTTATCTCACACCACCCCCATTTCCTGCAACTTCCCTTCCCTCCATTCCCAAAACCCTAAGCACAAACTTCCAAACTTAAAAACCTCGACTCTCCCTCTTTCTTTACAAATTACCAATGCAAGATATAAATTAAAATTCCCCCAATTGACAAAAAGAGTTCACCTTCAAATCTGTCGGAATTCATTAGACACCCAGAAACCACAAGAACCTGATTTGGAGCAAAAAGATTCAATGAAAGTCGACGGCGAGATTGGTGGTGGCGGCGGCCGGACGACTTCGTTTCTTATCTTCTTGCTGTGGGGTGGACTCATGTATTATATTTTCATTCTCGCACCCAACCAGACTCCGGTATTGATTGTGAATTATTTTGATTTTCTTTAACTTTATCTGTTGCAATTTAGCCCTGATTGCCTAACAGGGATGAAATTATGATGATAAATTCTAGTAATTTTATGCAAAGGGATGAATTCAATCATTCATACATCGATAATTATTTGAACTGGTGTACTTTCCAGTCGACGGACATGTATCTGGTGAAAAAGCTTTGCTATTTAATTGGTGACGATGGTTTCCAACTGAACCATGTGATTGTGGGTCTATGGAACATTATGGGATTATGGCCTTTACTCTATTGTATGCTGCTGATTCCATCAGGCAGAAGGTACCCAGTCAATCGTAATCTTTAGCTTTGGTATTTTGATTCATGGATTTCTTGTTCATGATTAAGAGATTTGAAATTTGTCCCATTTTGCAGCTCAAAAGGGAGTGTTCCTGTGTTTCCTTTTCTGATACTTTCATTCTTCTTGGGTGCATATGCTCTTATACCTTATTTTGTTCTTTGGAAACCACCACCACCACCTACCCAAGAAGCTGAGCTGGAAAAATGGCCTCTAAACTTTCTTGAGTCAAAACTGACAGCTGGGGTAAGATTCTAGTCCTTAAACTTCAAAATTATCCAAAAAAATGTAAGCTGCTATTTCTTGTATATAGCCCTACTTGATATGAGATGAATTTCCTACTTCATTTCAATAACTACACACCAGATAACATTTGCTGTAGGATTAGGTCTAATTACCTACGCGGGTTTGGCCTCTGGGGATGATTGGAAGGAGTATTTGCAATATTTTGGAGGGAGTAGACTCGTAAGTCCCCTATTTTTGATCCAACAATAACAAGACAATAATACTCTCATAGACATGACAGGATCAAACACTACTAGATAACAGATATAACAAGACAATATTGTCCTAGATATTGCAGTACAGTATTAGTCATGTCATGTTGTGTCTTGTCTGACAATGCAAAGTTACTAAAAGGCCCTTTTTGTTTCTCGCAGATACATGCTACAAGCATTGATTTTGCACTGCTATCTACGTTTGCGCCTTTTTGGGTTTACAATGACATGAGTGCTCGAAAATGGTGAGATATTTTTATTATTGACTTCATAACGAGAATTAAGATTTTAAAAGATTCTGAATTATTTATTATATGGTTTGCATTTACAGGGAGGACAAGGGGTTTTGGCTTCTTCCATTTTCGGTGATTCCATTTTTGGGCCCTGCTTTGTATGTTCTCTTGAGGCCATCTTTGTCAACAGCACCCATCTCACTTGCATCAAAAGAGGAGTGATGTATATGTATTCGTAGTTCTAAGGCTATATGTAATGTATTACATAATTTTAATGCACAAAATGTGGAAATAGCAAGTTATATATATTCAATTGGAGCTCATTACCTTTTTTTTTTTTTTTTTTTTTTTTTTCTTTTCCATTTTGATGTGGACAATTGTGTAAACGTGTCTAAATAATGTATGTATCATTTTTTTACGCTTAGAACAGAATATGCTTTAAATATATTCAGTTTTGGTTTTTGCTTAATATAGATATTAACAGATACCTTTACATGTGTTAAATTTTCAAATTATATTATTATATTATATTAATCAAATAATTCTAAATTAAACCATTTTACTATCGAAAACTGAAATTTCATCGAATAAAAGGTTCCATTTACAGTGTAAGTCTAAGAAAATGGTACATACACAATTACAAATTATAATTAAAATTTTCCTTCTATAAATAATCAATTAACATATCTGAAATAATTCTATTATTTTAAATTATTATTATTTTTATTAAGTTATATGCCCTAAACACCCCTTATATTCTTATGTTATTAGGTCATCCGGTATACCTGCAACAAAGGTCTCGTGATGATGAGATGGAGAAGGATAATGACCTTGCAAACCACTTCGGTGGTGGCATTGTGCTTACATAGCACCAGGAAAAGTCATGCCGTGCACTCTCTTTGTAAATACCATTACTAATTCCAAATTGATAATCAACAAACAAACTCGGTCAACAAGTTGTAATAATAGTGTAACACTAACACATGAAAGTAGATCAACCAATTAATAAGAAGAATTCACCAAGCCCCCAACAATTGCAACAGTTAACTCTAACATCTCTTAACTATTTTGACAAAGCAAACTTTTCGATAATGGAAGTTTATATCATCTATGATAAGAATGATAGTCTAGGACCCAATCAGATCTGATTAAGTCAATGTTGTATTGAATCGGAATGAGTTATGTCTAAAGTAAAAGGGTATATGACTTGATCAAGGCAAAAAAAAATGGTATAGAATAGTCTAATCTGACAAAGTCATGAAAATGAATTCTTATTTATTAACATTAAATGTAATAATAATAATAATAAAATAGAAAATGGTAATTTGAGACCGTAGACTTAGTTTCTACCCTCTAACCCTGACACCCAATAAATACTATTTATTGATTTGGTCAACAAGTTTTAACAACAGATAAACACCAATCAATGAAAATGAACTAATTAATTAGTTAATAATAAAACCTTAAGCCCGCAACAATTGAAAAGGTTTACGTCAACACCTTACTTATTTTGACAATCAAACCCAAGAGTCCATATCATAACGTTACATCATATTTAGTATTTATCTATACATAACAGTAAAATAATGCGTTTTGTTGAAGAATATTTGGTGTAAAAGTGGGTATTATACAAGATCTAATGCATATAATATAACGGATATGGTGATAATTGGAATGTCTGACAAGTTTTCTATAAATTTAGCCAGCCAACGGGTAGTATGGCCACACAACAAATAGTAAAAACTAGGAAGCAAAACAAAACATGAATCTTGTAAATGAAATTGTCAGGTATGAAACAACCATAACAAATAAAAAACAGTAAACAAACGATGTATCCTCCTAACTACTACGCCGTGAAACAAAAGGTGCTCATCAATCACCCATATAGCTTTCGCAAATCATCCTTAAATTTGGCCTTCAGTTGTTCCCTCTTTAACTTGAGTGCAGCTGTCACCAATCCAGATTCAGGTGTCCATGGTTCTGGCATCAACTTTATCTTTGCAGGAAGCTCAAACTTGTCCAACTTCGCCTCTTTTCCTACCTACAAAACAAGTTGACAGTTGACAGTTCATAGTTGATTTCTCATATGTGAAAAAAGACGTAAATACCCTCAACTTTATTATTAGAATATAAGTTACTTATAACCACTAACCTTGGAGAGAGATTGCTGGACCTCGGAGACAGCCTCTTTTTTAGCACAAAGCTCAGCATAATCATTGTAACTAACGCCACTACTTTTGGCCCATTGCTCAAGAACCTGGGGTGCAGGGACTACTAACGCCACACAATAACTGTGGAAGGGGTCTGCGTGTAACATTACGTTTTCCACATACTTGCTTGATGCAAGTGCTGCCTCCACCTGTAAAATTACATCACCCCAAATACAGTAGGTCAAACAAAAAGTCAAATACTTGTCCCACTGACTCCAATGTTATGTGGGCCCTACCTACAACACATACCTTTCCTAAAGAGATGTACTCTCCATGTTGGAGTTTCACAATATCTTTCTTTCTGTCAATGATTTCAAGGCATCCATCAGGGTGAAACCTTCCGATATCCCCAGTGTAAAACCAACGCATCCCAGTTTCATCAACCTTTCACCCAAAAAAAAAAAACAAATAATCAAGTCAAAACTCAAAAGTCATGAATTAAAGTTACACACACACACACACACACAAACACACCTTGTAAGCCTCATTAGTTTTTTCCTCATTGTTAAAGTAACCAGCGGTTACACTGTGGCCACCAATAACCACCTCGCCACGTGGCATTGGTTTGTCCGATGTTAAGTACCCACCTTCATCCCACGAAACAAGCTGCAATACAAATCATATTTTTGCATTAAATACCAACATATTTTATTGGAAAAAGTAGAAAGAAACGAATTATTATTATTATTATTATTATTATTATTATACCTTAATATAGCCACAAGGAAGAGGAGGACCAACACGTCCAACAGAAGGATCATCAAACTCAGAGAAAGCAGCTCCAGCACATGTTTCTGTCAGCCCATATCCTTGCCCAATTGGAGTCCTGAAATAAAAAATACCATTTACACACATTCACAATGTGTATATTAATATATTAGTAATAATAACTTACCCAATGCAGACATTGATAAAGCGTTGTGTATCTGCAGCTAAAGGAGCACCACCACATAGCATGAAACGAATGTCTCCTCCTAGTATACAACGTATCTTCTTAAAAACAATAGCATCCCAAATTACCTTTTCTACCCCCCATGCCCCTAGCCAGCTTCCTTCTATTGATGTCAACCGTCTTTTGTAAGCTAAGTTAAAAAGCTTTGTAGTCAAACCCCCCTTTCCTTCAACCTATAAAATAAAAAATAATACAAATTCAATAAGTTAAAAAGAAAGATATAGTTTCTTGACATATAACAAGATAGTTGAATACGGACATTTTTTAATACTCCATCACGGACACGATCTAGAATAGCTGGAACAGATGCCAATAAAGTTGGCTTCAAAAGAGATGCATCTCCTTTGGTTCCTTTCTTGATTTTATTAGATGTGTCTGTTAATGTCAGGGCTGAACCATACCCAATTGATGCGCCAGCTGTCATCATCACAGTCTGCATAAAAACAGTGTGTATGAAGATCATACATACAAATGGGAGCTGGTAGTTTATTTTATGTATGCTGTATGCATAATGCATGATGTATGTTTACCTCAGCAGCCAATTCGAATATATGAGCCAATGGTAAGTATGCCAAGTAGACATCACTTGGTGAAAGCCCTGGGACCACAGTCATCACTGCAGCTGCGGTTGCCACTACATTCCCATGAGTCATCATCACCCCCTGAAAAAACACATCATTGCCACGTCAGCATCAAATTAAAAGACATAAATGCCCTTCTCATATAGCGGCTGAATGGATAATGATGTATGTCTGGATAAAGTGTAGTATACGTAAAGTTTGTTTCTTTTTTAGACTAAACTGACAGGACAAAATGACCATGTTACCCTTTGTTTATTTTATATATATATAATACAAATGCAGCCTAGGAGAATAAGGGAAAAATCAAACCTTTGGTAGACCTGTGCTGCCACTTGTATACATGATGACTGCAACATCTTTCTTGATAGGAAACCTAGCAGGAGCAGGACTCGCCTCCCCCAGTTTCTCAACTTCAGAGAAAGCAGAAACTTTCCAATCACTGATATTAGTGGAAACTTCAGTATTATCGCTCTCAAAGTATACAACATTTTTAACAGTTTTCAAGCTCGAACTAACTGAAGCCACTTTCTTCAATAGCTTAGAATCACAGATCAAGGTAGATACTTTTGTCTGTAGAAGATTTATACCATCAGAAGAACTTTAAAAAATTAAACAAAACCAAAAACATCAACAACAAAAGAAAAGTGTGTTTTCACCTCATTAAGAGAGTGAATTAGGGCATCATCACCTAATGATGCATATATGGTTACAACAGTTATATTCTGCCTGAAACACCCCTGAAACCATAATGTTCTTGTAGTCAGTGTTCTATCAATATATCAGAAAAGAGATATGGTTACAACAGTTATATTCTGCCTGAAACACCCCTGAAACCATAATGTTCTTGTAGTCAGTGTTCTATCAATATATCAGAAAAGAGAGGAGGTATGGGTATCTACCTCAAATGCAATAAACCATTCTGCTCGTGTGTCAGAAAAGATGGCAATTCGGGTATCAGGGTCATGACCAAGGCGAATAAGTCCAGATGCAAAGTTGCAAACACGTTCAAATATCTGTCCATATGTCTCCCACTGAAATTCCCCAAGATGCAGCTTTTCAAACTTTCTCCCATCATTACCAGTAACAAAGTCTCTTTCAACAAGCTTTCGTGTACCTAGAAACCGATAATGTGAATGTTTCTTACAAGACTGTTCAAAGAGTGCAGCCATGGTTGTAGCCCCTTCCCATGGAACTTCAACTAATTTGCTTGATCTGACATTTCGCATGGTAAAACCTGCCTCACCACCAACTTCAACAGGAACACCTCTTTGTTTCACCTTCTTCTTCCCCAGGAACATGGAAGAAAGAACCAGTGGGACAGCAATGGCGAAAATAACTGCAACTGCAGCACTGTATTTGTCTTCCATGAGACTGGAGAGGAAACCACCACTAACAGCTATCTCTTCAGCTGTAGGAGTATTGATGAGACTTCCCTCTGAATCATCCATTATATGTAATCCAAAATGATATCAACCTGAAAGGTTGTCACAAATAAACCATTCATTGTTGTGCTCAAGCAATGATCCGACAACGTATTTATGAACGGCAACATGTTTATATGCTTTCAATTAATAGAAGGAAACAGC